CTATTTTGAAATTTTAGCATTGTCCTCTAGCAACTCCCACTAAAATTTCATGTTTATTATATCTTAGTGCCTCCTTCAAAACTTCTAATTTCAAGAGAAGGGTATAGCTCAGTAGTAGACTGTGTCCCTAGAATGTACAAGGTCCTGGGTTCAATCCCCAGTACCTTCATTAAAAATAAATGAACAGAAACCTTATTACCTCTTCCCTCCCCCCAAAAATAAAAAAAAACCTTCTAATTTCATATCCTGTTATACAACATTCAGTATTTCCTAGTTTATGAGAGGATAATTAGGGGGAAATCTAAATACCTTAAGTCTGAACATTGTTCTGATCTTTTCTTTTGTGACTGGGCTATAGTTGTGGCTGGAATTTTTCACCTTTCCACTTTGCGCTTTTTGCTCTGTAGAATTTCTGTATTTTTGTGTTCGTTTATTTATGACAGTGGAATATAATGCACAAATCCTTGGAGTCAAGATGTTGTGAAATAGCAGATCCACCAGGGGATTTTTCCAGTACATTTTGAATGAGCCCTATGTATAAGACATAAAGCATCCATCAGAAATAAATAAGGTTTTTTTGTTGAGAACTAGGAAGAACACAATCTGCTTCTCTTAAAAAAAAAAGGCCACAATAATGTACTACAAAATGCGTATCGTTATAATAACAAGAGTAAACTAAAGCAAGCGAGAATAAGGAACATGCAACCACAGGAAGGTTAGCCACATTAACCCTGTGTATAGTGTTTACTTTGTGAAATGTTTTGAGATATCACATTGCCTAGACGCATGATTCCTGTGGATATTGTGAAGAGTATTATGATTCTACAGGCCCGAGTGGTTTTGGTAGTAACTATATTTATGTGACGAACCCACAACTAATAGAAGAACACCCTGTTACTCCTTGGAGTATAAACTTCTCATGGCCTGAGAGGATGGTAGATTGATTGATGGTATTGGGATGTTCTGTATAATTCCAGCAACCCGATATGTTCTTTGCAGCCCCAAACAGTACTTCTCATTTCCTGATAGACTGTATAATTTACCTATTTTGTCTGTTTGTTTATTGTCAGTCTCTTCCATGAAAATATAGGTTCCATGAAGGCAGGAAACTTTGGTTTTCTCTTGTAGCCTCCATGGCTGGCACCTAGTTCCTGAAAGGTTTATAGAAGGAACGAGCTAAGAAGAAAGGGTGAAAGTATGGGAAGGCAGATTTTTGACTCAACACAGACTTTTAAAGTTACGTTATGTCCTGTATGCTGTCTGCAGCCTGTGTGGTCTTCACCAGGAAGTGATGCCCTCTCTAGAGCTCCAGCTAAGTCCAGGCGGCTACTGGCCCAGGATGTGTTTGGGGATGACACATTGGACGTGTTTGGCCACCAAGTTCACTTGCACTTCCAGCCTTGTAGTTCTATGGACGGGCCTTTGACAAAGAATTTTCAGTGGCGGGGAACCGAGAGCAGTCATAGTGTATTGTTAATGATGACAACTAACTGAACTTAGGGTTTAAGTGGGAAGGAGTCAGAGATGGCATGGGGTCTCCCAGCCTGGAGATACTGGTGCCACTGAAGGGAAAAAATGTAGTTCAACTGAATTACTGGTTTGTAGGCAAACTTTACATAATGGTAAGAAATTTTGAGTTTAATATGTTAGTGGATCACCCAGGAGACATCCAGAAGGTGATTATATTTGGGCAGATATGGAGCTCAAGAGAGGCTGAATTATCTCATGCCCATTTGTTAGAAAAATCCACACCCCTCTCTATAGAAGGTAGAGATACCCATGAAAAGTATGGGTAACTTTTCCCTAAAAGATCATGTGCGTCCATCTCTATTAAATAATAATCCTTAGTATTGAAAACCATAGAAAACACAATTCTCAGATCATTGTATCAGAAGAACAAGAATGTTCCTTGAAAGCTTTCTGTACTATATACACGATCATATAGTAGATTTTGAAAGGCTTTATTTAGACAATGTGATAACTCAATATACGTTAATTAATGAAACTGAATGGCTTTAAATCTATTTAAAAATTGTGCTTAAAATATGCCACAGGTGAACAGTTCCTTTGGCTATATGATTTTATATTAATTATGTAGAACGTAGGGTTATAGTTTCACTTCCCAGATGAGGAAACAGAGGCCCAGAGTGACTTTATTGCTTATAAGGAGCTCAGACTGGAACTGTTGCCCTCAGAGCCCGGCTGTGAAGCTTTCTCCAGTGTTCTGCTTCAGGGAGCTGTGAGTCGCCAGACTGAGACTCCACCTTACCATGGGACTGATCAGCTGCCTGCTCACTGGCAGTGAAAACCTTGACCACTTGTGCTTGACTCAGATGTAGACCTCCCCCACCGCCCCCAATTCCAGTTCCACTGCCTACCACCTGCTACCAGGGAGCCTCACAGCAAAACTGCAAGTTAATGATGATTGTACCAGCCAAACTTTCTTGGATGGGCTGATACATCTCGCTCCCCCATACAAGGCTATCAAAGCAATGGGTTCTCTCTCGCTCTCTTTTTTTTTTCCCCTCCTCTAGCGATGATGTTCACTGTGAGAGCAGCTAATGGGTAGTCAAGTGCAGGCGCTTGGGATGTGGGAGAGAATGAGCTGAACAGGGAACCATGAATAAACTGTTAAAGCCAAGTGGAAATGAGAAGCGGAGGGAATTTGGAGAGGCAGATGAAGAAGCCGTTGGGGAGCACTGAGACAACACGGGGTGAATTCTGTGTGAGTACAGTTTCAGGGGAGCAGTTGCCCAGCTGCAGGATTACTGCACCCCTTTTTCTACACTGGATTTATTTCAAGGGGGAAGGAAGAAGGGTGGGGCCACAGGAATAACTGGGGGGTGTGTATGTGATGAATCAGGAGTGTTTTGGCAAAGTAATTTTCTGTCTCTTATAGCTGACAGCAGCACCTGCTGTAATTTCACAATATTTTGTGAGAAAGCTAGCTTTGATTTGCCATACAGGTCAGGTTGGCCAGTAACAAACAGCCCGGCACCCACAGAAGGTGGAGACTGGGTCAATTTCTATTTGCGAGGACTGCGCCTTGCACTAGAAAGCTGAAGGAATAGAGAGAGACTCAAGGGTTTGTGGTAATTTTTTCACCTGCAATTTCTGGAACCCATAATTCAGCACTAACTGGATTAGGGCACGTTCTGTCAGACTGAAAATCTAAAGCTTTCCTATGGGGAATGTCTCAATGTTATAGCTGAAAGAGGTGACAGCCACATTACTGCCATCAAAAGTAATTTATTAACTAAGTCTGTGCAAAATACTCTGGTAGGCACCAAACCCCAGGGGTTTCCAGTTTGAATGCATCCCATGCTCTCTGCTGTCTTTTCAATGTACCGCTCGGCTCTGCTCTCCACCTGTGAATAAATACCTCAAAAACGTAATGTCTGGGGAGACCCATCCCCCTTTGGGGTACAAGAGAACGCTGGTTCCAACATCAGCGCCAATCATACAGTGCTGGAGTGGTGTATTAGGAGGCTGCCACCCTCAACCTCTCTGTCTTGGAGCTTGTAAATAAAACATCTTTCCGGTTTCTGCTTTAGACCGGGAAATCTGGGAAGAGTTGACAGGCGAGGTTTTGAACCATCAGCATAAACCATGCTGATGCTGGCTCTTGGCCCCTTCATCCTTTCTTCTTTGCCCTGTCCCTCCAGTCTTCTAGGCAAGTTCCACACTGCACCGGAGATACAGATTCACAGGTGCCTCTCTACCCAAAGGAAGAAACCAGCAACGAAATTTTGGACACCAACCCAAATCGTGTTTTACATTTTACCTCTCACAATCAGTTTCCTTGTGACGTGCACCTGTGCGTACATCTACATTTTAAGACAATACTTTTCTAAAGGTAGGTTATCACAAATAGGCTTCGAGGTATCTGCCAGGTCTAAATGCACAAAAAGGTCTGCTTCACCAGCATCTCTCTCAGGAAGCCGAGGTCAGAGGGCTCTCGGTTCAGCGGCGCCAGCGGTCAGGCCCGGGAACACACAGACACCCTCCCACGCGCACACGCCCCCGCTCCCTCGCCCGGCAGCGCCAGTCTCTGACCCACTGGATCCGCACAGCAGCCGGGCTCACAATCTGTGGGTCGGGAGCTGCTTTTGCCACACACTTCCAAGCGGGGGTTTGCTTGGCTCATTTATTTATCTTGTACGCATTAAGAAACCACCGTTAGGTGTTGGTGGGAGGCGCTACTCCGCCTGA